TTAAGAAGAAAGCCTTTAATTTTCGTCAACCTCTGCCCATCCAAATGTCATGTCAACGATGTTCAAAGAAATTGGGATTTTGCAGACTTCAGTCACGATGAGTGATTGCATGTTCTTGTACAAATGAGATACAGATGGAATTATTTTATTGACAGATACCAACTGTTGTTTCAGGTAATCAAAATGCTACCCATTTTTARACATTACCTGCCCAACAAAAGAATCGATTTTGGCAGCTCTTGTCGTTGTTCGGTGTTTATTTCTGTTCACGTTTCAAAAGATTCATTTCTCTCGCGTCATTTACAAAAGAGATGGATTGCGGAAAATGTATTCTTTAGCATATTGCCTAAAGGGACAATTTCGTTTTTAAAGATATAGAAAAGTATGCGTCTCTTAGCTATACTGTAAACAATACAAGAATATGGTAAAGGGTAAAAACTGTTGTATTCATTCGTTTAGTTCATTTTCCAAATCAATGGTTTCTGATCTTTTCGAAAAAAATCCATACAAAGTCTGCTAAGACGAACTAAATAATGAAAAATATATATCATGATAGAAAGTTTGTATAAAGTAGTAGGTCGTCAGACGTTGATAACGAATTCTTACGATGGATTTCTATATTTCTTTTTCTTGACAATTCTTAATGGGGCTGGGAAAATTAATGCTAATCTGAGAAATGCTATTCTCTTAATATAAACGGCTTCCAAACGGATCCGAAGAATATTACTTTAACACTTACTAAACATTATTTAGGGAATGTGTTTGCATTAGTGCATTGTTCGTTTTACTTTTTAGATCAACGTTTTAAGTAGAAATACAATACGAGTGATAATCTTTGTCAAGTTTTGTTTTTGTTGCAGAAAAATCGGCGTTCCAATCGCAACCTACGTACCGTCTTTCTTTTTGAAATCAGCTAGACTTTGATGCGAGCAAAAGCCGTTAATGGCTAGGTGATACCAATATTTTATTAACCTTTGCATTATCGAAAGTAAATCAGTTCAGTTGTTCATCAGTAACCGATTATTCAGTGAATTCTCTCTAATTTGCCGTGCGTCATATATGGTTTTCTATTRAATGGAAGAAAAAAGATTTCGTTAGATATATTTAGCTGACATAATATTAGTCACGTTTAGCGATTTTTAAAAGAACAGTTAGTCCCCCCCCCCCCTTTTCCCCTTCATCGTGTTTGTTTTGTTTCTTCAAAGTTACTGAGTTTGCCCATGATTTATTTATTCGTTTATCCTTTATTTGTTTTCTCTTCCATCCATCCACTTTGATTCGACATCCCTTCACCTCACTATCCATCTGTCCGTTCATTCTGCCAATTTGTTGGTCTGTCCAGCCATAGCTACTTTCCACCATCCATTCATCCCACTTTCCACCCATCTATATATCTTTAGTGTGCAATAACTACCAGAACCGTGGTTTTGGTTTCGTTCCGTTMAAAAGCGGTTATGGTTCTAAACGAAATAATTTTTGTTAATCCTTTTAAGATTCCCATCACCTAATCAGTTTAATCCGCTATGTAAGAGAGTCATTAGTCGATGTAAACCTCTTTTCGCTTTCAATTCGTGTCGTTTTAATGCTTTCTGCTCACGAGTGAAGTCATACATACATACATACATACATACTTTATTCGTCCTCTATAAGGCTTTTCAGAATAAAGGGCCTAATTAATTACAATTAAAATAATACTATATATAATTCATGGACATAAGACAGATTAAACGATCTTATTGAAAGAAGAAATAAAAAGTATTGATCTTTATTTACTCTTGCCAATATAATAGCGTGCAGTGACTCTGTAGAAACGAAAAAAWATATGTTTATGCCACAAAAAAAATGAAGCAAAACAAAGTGCTTAGAGGGTTTTTTTCCTGTTTTCTTCCCTCCGCAAAAATCGACTTCTAAATTCCAATTCGATCGCGCAACGAGGGCCACAGGTTTGTTAGTCACTGGCTATTAAGTGTTACCCTCGTAAAACAAGGACGATTTCGAATTCCATGATACAAGTTATAAACCTTTAAAATATCCTTTTTTTAATGCGCAAAAGATTATTTTAAAGGTTTAAAACCTTGTGTCATGAAATTGAAAGAATCTTTTGGAATCCAGGCAAAGAAAATGTCAGTGGTTTCGAATTTCTATTTGAATTGCAGAGTGAGGTTTTTTCTTGAACGGACTTTAATAGGCTGGCAAAAAGGCAAAGGATTCGGCGACAAGAGATTAACATACTCGGAATCCTTGTCGGGTTTTTGACTGCTAAGTTATCAAACAACAGATARTGGATTGGCAAACCATTTATTAAAGTTTTCACTATCATGTATGAAGACAATAATGGGGATTAGGTTCAGAGGTTAAAACATCCGATTAAGATCAAATTAATTGAAAAAATCTGTGAAAATCGCTCAAATTGTTCAAAGTCACCGGTAACATCCTGGTGGTCTTCACCTCCTTTCRCAGCTGTCATCACTATCGGCCCCAGATTCTCCAGCGGCCTCGAGCTTCCGTGAGGATCTGGGCTCGAAACTAATAACGGCTGCTGAATTTTCACCTAAGTCTTTCATCTTTATCGCTTTACTGATGGGACTTTGGATTTTACTAGATTGTGATTCTTGTGTCAAATTGAACTTTATTACTTTACTATGGAAGGATTTTAGGGTTTTGCTAGATTAAGATTCCTGTGTTAGATTAAACCTATGAAGGTTCTCCCATTTAGCGACACGGGTTTGCGCTCATGTAATGGCAGCCATGTTGGCTGACAGGAATAATGAAATTGTTTTAAGACCTCAATATTTCTGCCGTTACGTGATCAAGAAAATCCTTCAACTAACCAATATTTTGATGGTTTTACAGGTATGTATTGCTTGCTATTTGGTTATCATCTTTCACCTTCACGTCCCTGCCGCTCTTCTTCGTCATGGAGTACAAAGAGAACGCTTTTGGTAAATTTTGCATCTTTAAATGGGAAGCGTGGATGCAGGTGGCTTATGTCGGCACGTTATCATTACTCTGGTACCTACTTCCCCTTGCTGTAATCAGCTGTACTTATATCTATATATCTCACTTACTGCGACGAAGCAGCACCTTTCATAAACACACTTTAAAAACCTTTGATCGATATTCTTCGAGCATGCGCAAACGGATGACRACGGAGGTTCGTCGACTGAAGGAAAACAAACGCGCGAGGAAGATTCTAACGCCTCTMATGCTGGTATTCGCGATCACCATGCTACCATTGAATGCGTTAAGGCTGATTGCGTCTCTGTGGCCAGAAGTAGCAAGATGGGARTATTTTTTAGTGGTATATAACTTGTCTGTCATAGCAGTTGTGGTAAATAGTGCTTCAAACCCTGTCATCTATTCTATAGTCACCAACGGCTTTTGTCGCTGTCCGTACCGTTGGTTGAAGTGGCTTGAATGTTGTCATGTTCAGAAGTCTGAGTCAAAACTTTTGAAAAGAAAAAAGGACTATATTCAAAATCTTCGTTTACAAGAACTTGCGCGCAAGTAAAATAAAAAGACGAGTTGCTATTGTATCTGTTGTCATGACGATGCAATGAGCAGCTTATTCTTCACTCAATCCAAGTCATTTCCGGTTTCGAGTGGAATTTTTACATACTGAATGGCAAGTTTTCATCAGAAATGTATTGGATGATTTAGCGTAGAGGGCAGTGTTTGCCCTTAASTAGATGCTGGTAACGAGATTAATGAGATTCATTTTAGCAATAGAATACCCTCTGCTTTATAGGACACGACGGGTAGCGTTTGCCTGTCATTGTAGGCTGGTARTAAGATTCGTGAGATTCATTCAGCAATAGAATACTCTCTGGTTGATAGCACATGACGGGCAGTGTTTGCCTGTCATTGTGGGCTGGTAGTAAGATTCATGAGATTCATTCAGCTGATACCAAGAAATTACCCCACTGTTAAAACCACTTAGCTTAACATTAAAGCATATTAATATGAAGAAAAGATAAATTCTTAATGCGATAGAATTAAAAACAGAACATTTAATCAGCTTATTACTTAAAAGATTAACTAAGCATTATCTAGTTAACTTTGACATTAAATCAAGAAATGGGAAAAAATGAATATATGTATTTTATATAGTATTTTAGAAGCATTAGAATTATTCAGCTTGGCTCAGTGCTGTCCCATTTCTGACCACCTGATCATTCCCTTGAGTATTGTATAAGCAATAGATCCTTTTAGTTTCGTTCAATGTCGTCCAATTTTAGACCACATGACTATTTCGTTCAGCATTGTATAAGCAATAGACCCATTCAGCTCTATGTTGTGAAAGTATAGATAATGTGACCTTTTCTAGCCCTCCCTTGAGTATCGCTAGACCATTTTAGACCCGGATTCGGCGTCGCGACGAAAAAGGTTTTGGTGGACGTCAATCAAGGCGTTTCCACGACATTCCATAGACACGTGTCTTTGAAAATTGACTTTCCATCTCGCAGCAGACATGTTTATTCCCACGAATATTAAAGCATTTGTTTCTGCCTAAYCAAACTCATTCTGAAGTGCTTTAATATAAGGCTAACTAAACAAAAATCTATTGTTCCAAGGAACATGGCTGGTGTTTGACAAGGTCTCTTTCATGAAAGCATTTTGACTAGTGACGTCCACCAAAACCCTATTTTGTCGCTACGGCAAATTGTATGATTCTGCGTGTGTGTTTGAGAAGCGCTATAATGAGTGGTTATCCTCACAAATGAGGCTTGCGGACATACAACGTCAATACGCATCAACCAACACAATCCTATTAAGAGATAATCTCTTAATTCCAATAAGAATTGAGAATTTGCGATTAGAAATTATATTTATGGCTMATGAAAGAAATTACTAATAAGCGCTTGATTACAGTAACAATAATTCATGAGTTTTATTTATWTTTATTCCAATAGCGGGCATGTTTTTATTCTTCTCTGGATCAATTTTCACATGCTTCATGATACCTTGGTTCATCTATGTCACTTTTTCAAATTAGCTGGAGATTCATGCAAATTGAGATATTAACGAAATAATAAGACCCCARCATCGAAACCACAAATCCTGACATTCGTTGCTAACTTTTTCTTAATAATTTTCTAGATTAGGAAAAAGTCCAATGATCGAGGGATTTTCTAACCACGGTGTTCGATACGTCATCAAAGTGGTTGATTTAACAGATCAAAAACAGTTTTCTGTGTTTGATACTCTGATCAAAASACGCGGGATGTGGAGAGAACACGAGAGGARCGTAGGAAACCACGACTCGTTGCGGAGTGGTTTCCAGCTTCTCGAGTGTTCTCCCAACATCCCAAKTGTTTTGATCAGAGTATCAAAMACGGAATACTGTTTTTGATTTGTTTTATAAAATAACAAAMTCGCGAAAAGTTCGAAGAAAACCAAAGTCTAAGTAGATTCTCCCTACGTGCCGTCTTTTTCTAACTGACCAATGAGCACGCGCGATAGATTMAAATCTGACAGTTGCAATACTCGCGCGCGCTAAAATGAGGACAGCGCGTTTTGATGATTTCATCAAACATGTWWTTCGACCAATCATAGCACGCGTAGTATCCCAATTATTTCATAAATCATATTAACRTGCARCAGCGCACGTATCTAAARTAGACTTTGTTCACGTATTGATTTSAGCAATAAATTTTCCCACGCGTAGCCTCGCATTCAAGTGCACGAAAATAAATTAATGTGGGCGAAACAATGRATTCCATTCCCATGAAAATAAACATGGCTGTCGCGTTAAGACCATAAATCCGATAAACTGGCTTCACTGCATCCATGCTGTACGACATACAATAGAAATGTTCTTCTTTGGGAAATAAAATCTTGGCATGAAAATTTTTTTGCTACAACAAGTGTTGAGTAGTAATGGGAGGGGGGGTCAAGGGGGAACCTCGGCCTAGTTCCCAGGACCCTCTTACTAGAAAGAAGAGCGCATTGGGAACGAAGTTAGAAGYATGCGTCACAAATTGTAAATGTCATTATTACCGTAGTCTTTATTTCTAGTTGAGATTGTTTTCTGTTAACTACATGCAGATTAAATTATCTTGGAAAAAATATATCACAGCCGAATTGAGAAATTATTTTAACATTTTATTAATCCTTTGTAGTTATTTTCCATCTCGAAACTAGCCATTTTGTTCACTGTGTTTTTCTAAAGGAAAAAGAAAAAGAATGTTAATATTAATGTTAATAATAATRATGATAATAATAATAATAATAATAATAATAATAATTTTTGTTTATTTCCATCTATAAAATTAACATAAATCCAAAAGTCAGTCTTAAATTCAACTTAGTTTTTGGTTAGGACTTGCCTTAGCATGTGGGGCGTTTAAATCTGACATCGGAACCTGGTACCTTTACCCCTCCTTCATCGACGCACCAACAGTATCCTGTGCTAGGCCAGCACTGTACTGGGTTATATGATCCATCCTCTAAACACTCTGGCACAAACATCCCAACACGAAGACTGTTTGAATGCGCCTTGAGTCGAGCTTCCTCGCATTCGCTTAGGTGTCCTGAAATGAGGGGGTTAAAATTAGAAAATGTATACGATCCATTCTTTCTTCGTTCGTTCGTTCGTTCGTTCGTTCGTTCGTTCGTTCGTTCGTTAGTCCCTTCTTTCCTTCCTCTCTCTCTCTCTCTTTCTCTTTTTTTTTTTTTTTTTTTGCACTTTAAATTTTTATTCCTTTTCTTCTTCTTTCCTTCTTTTCCCCTCTTTTCTTTCTCAGTTCTCTAGTGTGGAATGAGCACGGAATGCATTATCCATCCAAAAGTCTCACATCCGAGTGGTTCCCAAACAAGAGAAAATAACATGATATCGTTACTYACTTTCGCAGGTTGGCCTTCCCTGTTGTCTTGTGCCTTCAAGTTCTTTTCCTTTCTTATCCACACAGTAGCATTCTCCATTACTTGCGCAGCACTGAACCTCGTCAAAACTGCCGTCAGCTTTACACGATGGAGGGCCACACCAACCAGGGACATTAACGATTATGGCCTGCATCATCTGGCAAAGTGTTAACGCGGCTGTCAAGGTAAATGATTATCAAATATATATTTCGCATGAGTAGTTGGATGCAGAATATAGGGACCATCGCCTATGGTGGCCTATGCTCCACAGGGGACCAAGAGCATAAATAAGAAGTAGTTGGATGGGATATATAGGGTTGGAGGAAGAGAAAGAAAGAGTGACAGACAGACTGGTGTGGCGAGGGGGGAGAGATTAGTAGTAGGAAGTGCCTTCCGCATAAAATTGTGAATTAATTAAGCAACATAAAATGGCAGAGTTTTTTATTTTTTTGCTTGCRTTCCATGAAAATTCAACATGAAAATACAATAGAAATGCCAGAAATTCCATCGACTATCAACCCCATAATAGTCTTCTTCACAGTTCCCTGCGCCATCTTGAAAGGTAGYCGTGCCTTTGCATCGAAGCGATATATAKAGATATATGGTATAAAATTCCAAACCTTTTCTGCGGCTGCAATCCGGAGATCCACGGATCTTGGTTCCTAGAATCTCTTTTCCATCTTCATCCACACACCAACAGTAACCAGTCGATCCCCAGCATTGTTTTTCTTCGAACTCTCCCGTTTCTTTGCATTGTGGTACATAAGCACCTATCAGACCACTGTTAGCCGAGGCCTGGAGCTGTTGGCATTTGCTTAGACTAGCTGGAAGAAGAATTTTTTATTGCTGATTAACTTCAAATTTCATCGCTTTGGGCTTCACCGATTTCTACTAAAGTCTATGTTTTAGAAAGTTCATTCTATACCAAGAGGAGTGTAGAAATATCTAACCAAAGGAAGTTCTGGGACGGGAGCTACAGCCGTTCAAACGTTGCTAGGTGAGCGCAAAAAAAACAAAAAAACTAAGACGAGCCACCTTAAAATTACATAGTAAAAAGTCCTTATGAAAAAGCGAGGAAGGATAAAGTACATTTGTACAATGTTGAGGTCGTGAAAATATTTTTCAAGAATGCGACTTTATATATCTTTACTCAAAATGTTTTTACAGCTACTCTGGTCAACTAAAATTCCATAAACTAGTTACTTTAACGGGGACAGAATTATCATCAAATAGAGAAAGGACAAAATAAACATTACTGTTAAAGGCGCCAGGGTTTACGATCTTCGTGACAAGTAACATTACCTTCAGTAGCAGTTATAGCACAAACAATGAATAGTACCCAAATCATCACGACGAATCCTTTGGAAAACTTGGCTTGGTTTTGGCTAAGAGTAGTACAGACTGACCCTAATGATTCCCTGATTTCTCTTATTTATATCTATTGGTTTGAAGGCTGTTTGTGCCATGTTAGCACAAGTAAATAATCTCTGCAGCTGTGTTGTCGACATTGGTTGAATGAGACTTGCAACCTTCAGAGCAAAGTCCTTATTATTTGTAACCAGTTGGTAGCTGTTTGTGCCTAAGTATTAGCGAAAGTAAATTWTTTTTACAGCTGAATCGTCATCTATTGTTTAACGAGATACAAAAGATTGTAAACCTTTCTTTATACTTTTGTTAAAAGTCAAGACATGGTGCTTTAAATCTTCTATTTATCTTGTTCATAACTTCTTTTTTACCTTTCTTTTTAAACAAACCATGCTACTACAATGGTTTCTCTTGCTCGGCAAATATTTGATTGAATTACCATACATCACCCTGACCAGTACGTGTCTCAGAAACTAACAGGTTTACAAAAACTCATCCGTCCAGAGTCGACCTCCTGAAAAACTTGTTTATTCAGGTTTTTATTTTCTTGCTTGCCCGGACTTTCAGTACTACCTTCTTTTAGCAAAGAAACCAACCACATTAAACCGACCATATTCCAAAGCTCCCCCCAAAAAGCCAGTTTTTCCGCAAATCCACAATAACGCCTGCTTTGCAGGCTAGAAAAAGTATATTGAAACCTGTTTATGCCACCACAAACAAATCCGTCGACCATATGATGGCTTTTAGAAGTTATTTATTGTGTTTGGTTTAGCAACAGGAARGTTTTAAGTGAAGTTTTAAAAAGATGATGATGACAGAGTCGGCATGTTTTATGTCAGCCATGAGAGAGTTTTAGATTTAGATATGTGTGCTTTTAAGACGACACAATTGACAACAATTTCTAATTTTCAATATCCTTAATTTTTGTTTTTTTCTTCTTGATCAACAATAACAAATCTCTGTGCTTTATTCAGAAAAAAGAAGATTTGCCATTGCTTTACGATTTTTCATTYATTATTCTTTTCTTTTACTTATTCTCGTTTCTATTTATTTTTGGCCGTTTGTACGCTTTGTACTGTAAACACGCTTCTAGCAGCGGCAGATTTTAGCCAACTTGGTAAACACTGGAAATAATCAAAACGACAGGTCAAATTTGACAGCAATTAATATTGCGTTTTRCTATTAATCTACCAGCGACAGAACTGACACAGAATGAAAAACAATGTGACAGAGCTTAAGTGTAATGATGAATAATTATATGAATGTCAAATCTTTTAAAAATTCTTAAACATACGCCGAATCGAAGAGACCTATTTGAATAACTATCGTTCTGGACTGATTAGCCTCTCTTACATGTGAAGACGCTTTTGTGTTTTAATGTGAAGACGAGGCTATTCAGTCCAGAACAACAGTTATTCAAATTGTTAACCATATTTCATTTCGGTGTATAGGGCAATCCGAAAATCGACATATGCATGCTATTTGTCCTGTAAAGGGTTAATACTATTTTGGATAACGTTGAAATTTTTATTTTATACAATATTATAACATGTCAAACATTTCGAGAGTTTGCAGCCCCGAAAAGTAAATATAGGAAGGGCTATTCTTATCTGATAGTCATTTCGAAGGTACCAAACTTTTTTTTTTTTTTTGGCTGAAAAACCTTTGGACTCTATGGTATCTGAACTTTGAATAACTCCATTTAATTCTGTGTAGTTTTGTCATACTTTATTTCTCTAACTTATCAGTATTATACGGCTTTAACTATGTCTTATTTCACATGTTTTATTCTTCCAAGAAGAATGCGCGCTCAGTTCAAAAACGTCCTTCTATAACCGCTTCCTTTGTGCCTTAACGGGAAAGTCAATATCTTATTTATTGCACGGCTTTAACTATGTCTTATTTCACATGTTTTATTTCTACAAGAAGATTGCGCACTCAGTTCAAAAGACTTCCTTGTAACACCACTTCCTTTGTGCCTTAACGGGAAAGTCAATGTCTTATTTATTGCACGGCTTTAACTATGTCTTGTTTCACATGTTTTATTCTTCCAAGAAGAATGCGCACTCAGTTCAAAAGACKTCCTTGTAACACCACTTCCTTTGTGCCTTAACGGGAAAGTCAATGTCTTATTTATTGCACGGCTTTAACTATGTCTTGTTTCACATGTTTTATTCTTCCAAGAAGAATGCGCACTCAGTTCAAAAGACTTCCTTGTAACACCACTTCCTTTGTGCCTTAACGGGAAAGTCAATGTCTTATTTATTGCACGGCTTTAACTATGTCCTGTTTCACATGTTTTATTTCTACAAGAAGATTGCGCACTCAGTTCAAAAGACGTCTTTCTATCACCTCCTCCTCTGCGCCTTAACGGGAAAGTCAATATCTTATTTATTGCACGGCTTTAATGTCTTGTTTCACATGTTTTATTTCTACAAGAAGATTGCGCACTCAGTTCAAAAGACGTACTCCTATCACCTCCTCCTCTGCGCCTTAACGGGAAAGTCAATATCTTATTTATTGCATGCCTAAACTCCTGAATCCTAAATGTATAAATAATCGGATTCACGAAAGAATTCGCATAATGAAGAAATTTAGTAAAATAAAGTACATGGATGTTGTAGAATTGGACACGACAAGACAGACAGAAAGACAAGATAATATTCATGACTTCAAATGGAAGCCAAGCAAGGAGAGAAATGGCCGTTGCTATGAAGAGTGTCATAGCAAGCTTGTTTTCCCGGTCARAAGGTTCAACACGAGGAGAATCTCTTTGTAACCTTGGAATGTTTTGTTTCCGTGAACTTGGTCGTTTGATTTTCTTACATTCTTTTATCATGCTAGTGCAGCAGTTTAAAACTCTGGTTGAATCACTGCTTAAAGAGTCTCTTTGGCATTGGTTTGAGATACTTAATTTCGGATTTTCGGTTTTAATGTCTTCATCCTCGTTTTTGTCCTGTTCAAAATTGATGGAATTCGTAGTTGACGTCATAGATTTTCGATTGAAGAGTTTCCAAATGCACTTGGGTGTCCTCTCCAGGTCATCCATTTTATTCGCAAATCCACTTTCAAAGGCGCCATTTTGAAGATTGTGAACAGATCCCGTATCGTCACTCGTAGACCCGAGATGATCCCGCATAGAACCCGGTTTATTGTGATTCAGCTCCAAAGGATGCCCTACAGATCCCGTATCTTTGAGTCTAGACTTGGGATAATGCCGTATAGCACCCGGTTTATTATGATTAAGCTGCAATTGATCCCGTACAGACCCCATGTTATCACTTGTAGACCCGAGATGATCCCGTATAGCACCCGGTTTATTATGATTAAGCTGCAATTGATCCCGTACAGATCCCGTATCGTCACTCCTTGACCTAGTATAGTCCCGTATAGAACGTGTCTCATAATCAGAGAAAAGGGAAGAATCTACATTTTCAGACACCTGAAATCTAACCGATCCGCTCTCTTCTTGGTTTTGTGAAGTGCCTCTTGTAGACTTCGTTTCTGACCCTCTGTGCGTGATTAGTTTAGCCTTTTCTCGCCTTCTAAGGCGACGACCACGAGGTCTTCTTGACTTGACTTTAATCCATATGGAAACATATGACATGATCATTAAAAGTTGAGAAATCGTTAACAATGGAAGTACTATATAAAAGAACACCAGGAAACGGTTCGATACAAGAAATGATACAATTGAAATACCACTGGCTATCGTCCAAATGAGTGCTATAACAATYATATAAGTCTTGTCACTGGTTGTACGGTGTTGGAAGGGACGAGAAACGGCAAACAAGCGATCCAAAGCTAAAGCAGTTAGACCAAGTACAGATGCCATCCCCAGAAAAATATCCACCGATGTATAAATAGCAATATGTTTGAGGTAGCGCTTRAGTGTTGCTATGTACAACGGCTCAGAAAATGCACCAATGAGAAGGTCTGCTACAGCCAAGTTAATAATGAGCCAGTTGCCTCGTTTTTTAAGCGAAGAAGCGTTTGACAACACGACGATGGTTAGTAAGTTCCCTGTCACTATGGCAACGGATTCGGCGATGAAAATTTCAGGCCAAGTGTTATCCATTGCGAATCCAGTATCTAATTCTTGCTGCTCTGATATTCTTTATACCATACGTCTTCCAGGTTCGAAAACGATGAACGTTTTTAAAAGTTAGGACTAGCTGATGTTGTTTTTYCCCCCAGAAATTTCCGGTTATTTGGGAGAGGTGATGAGTTAATGTACAAAATGTACCAAATGGAACAAAAATATGAAGCGCTGTTTTTTTGTTTTTGTTTTTTTTTTTTGACGATTGACTTGGTGGTTTTTGTTCGTAGAATCGTTAATCCGATGAAACTGTAGACATAGGAAAACGAACCAAGAGGCACAGCCAGTATCGCAGTAACAGTTCTCTAAACTGGTATCGTCTGACTACATAACAAATTATCTTCGATCATATAACATCAATCATGATGTGTGGCTGGTTTTATGGTGAATGAAGACAATTTTCTCGTAAAGTTCAATGACGGAATTAAACTTGACGTCGAGGTCGGCGAACGATGATTCTCATTTCCTTAAATTCAGYGGCCACATTTCCTCAAACAGTACGAAGGAATCCTTAGCTCAGGTTTTGACTTATTCCACTGAGTCAAAACCAATTCCTCTTGTAAAAGATGAAAATATCTTTCTTTAAAACCTGAATATGCAATGTGTTCCGTGAATACCTTTTGCTCTTGAAGCGTCGACAATTTTGTTCACTCCAATGCCGGGTAAAAATCACGATTTATCTTTGTTATTCGATGACATTTCTTGCCTTAACGATCCTGAATGTCAACTTAAAGATTAAAAAAAAGAGCAATACAAATAATGATTTATCACCTCGTATGAGGATATTTCCATTTTCAATGAAAAGCCATCGAGAGAATCGTTTTAAGAAAGGGGTAGAATAAAACCACTTGATGTGGCTGGGATAAAGTGGTGCTTAAGTGCTTGGCTGTGTGCGTAAGTTCGTGAYAAAATGACACATCCTTCCTGTTTGCGCCATCTTGACATTTCGCGCGCTCTTCTACAATATTCCCGACAGAAACTTTAAAACCGGTTGAACTACACGGCAGTTTCAATATCAAATGAAAGATTCGTACTTCTATAAAGGTTACTTTAATGAATGATTGGTTCTTAACGCGCGCAGTAATATTGCACCTACAAAGCAAATGAAATCATCTTATTAATCTTTTAGCTTTGTTTACCTAAGAATGAAAACAAATACCATTTCAATTACTATTTGACTGATTATTCAAGAAATTTGAAGTCGCAAAATATCAGAGAAGCGTTTGCATCTCCAGTGTTGCTCGATTTGGGGAATAATATGCATATTCACAAGATTATCGGGGGAAAATGCTGGAGTTTTTCTTAATTACTCGCTGTGGCATGATAGCAATTTTGACTAGCAGATCTAACTTTATAAGTAGTTTGTGTAAATTAAGAAATATTATCAGAAACATTAGTATAATTGCGTACCAACTGCAGTGATTATAGTAGCAATTATTTTTTACTTCAAAACTAAGTTGTTTGGAAGACGCATCCATTGCCATTACAGATCGATAGTATAGTGAAATATGATGGCGAAGTGAATTTCGAATAAGATTTACAGAGCCGCGAGTCTTCAAGAGGCGAGATAAAAATTCACCATAACCACTTACTCTGAGGATAATATTTTTTAGTCAGTATAATTTTAGACTTTTTAACCGTCAACTAGGCGATTGAAATTTAAAAATATCAGAGGAAATGAGAAATTCAAGATTTAAAAAAACGCTTTGATCTTCCCCTTTGGCGAACTTTGGGAAACCTCAAAAGAAAATCAAGTGAAATTATTRCTTGGGTAAATAAGCGGCGGGAAGCGGTTATTGTTTTTATTTCATTATAGGAGTCGATCAATTAAATGAGAACTTATATATTAAGTCTTGMAATTTTTCTAAAAACTGCACTTATTTTCAAAATAAAGTTGAAGACGAGTCTCCATGAAAATGACTTTAGCAGCATGTGGTATTTCAATTGACTAGTTGACGCATAATTCATCCCAGAAAATAATCCATTTTCGTTATYTTTTTGACACGCAACTTCATTTCGCTTGCTAACTAAACTTAGCCCTAGCGAAGGTGTCTGTCTAATAGATGTATTATTTATAGCCTGCTATTATATAGTTAGGATAGTACGTGCGCGCTGATTGGTCGAAAACTGTTAATTAAGTAGTGCGCGCGTACGAACAAGGCTATTGGACGCTAAAATTGTAGTGCTATATGTCTTGGTAAACGTCTTTGGCGCAAGGTCCATTTTTATATTACGTTAGTTTTTTTTGGTAATTATATTAATCTTCTCTTAGGAACATAACAAAGGAACTTTGAATCCCACTTCTGACACCATGTCATATCTTGCTAATGTCTTCGGCAGAAGCTTTATTTTCAAAACCTTCGGCTTTCGTRTTCCTCGTTTTACTTTATGCTTTGTTTTTTTTTTACGTTCATTGATAATAATGTTATCTAAGGAACGTCGAAACTTTGGATTTCACTTCTGACACCATTTTCTATCTTGCTAATGTCTTAAGCACAGAAATTTTGGCTTTCATGTTGCTTGTTTTATTGTATGCCTT